TAATTTCTCTGTAAACTGCTGGGCCTAAGTCTCTCCCCTGTCTCCTCTCTCCCCCTAACACGTAGTCTGAGACTGTAAAATAAAGTGGTACGGGCTAATGGCATGCCAGATATTAAGTACCATAATTATTGAGGCTGTCATTCCATTACATCAGGCACAAAAAGCATAGTAATTTTTGTTAATCATGTTCCTATCCTAGCTTCCACATTTTGTTAGTGTTGGTTTTTTAACAGCAAAATGTATAATTGAGTTGATGATTTTTATCTCTCAGAGAAAAATATAATTAACATGGTGAACTAGTGCTGCTGTGTAACAGAAAAAATCTGAAATGACAAGATGGCAGATAGTAAGAAGAATTTCAGAAGGAAAATAATATAAATGCAGCTGGCTTGTCTATGGCCATTTGCTTTTGTTGCATCCATGCCATAAGGAGTTTACTGCGCTTGTGAAAGACACAAACGTCCTTTACCCTGAAATATTTTTGCTTTTCCTGTGTGTTTTCTTTTGAAGAAGTATTGGCAGCAAAAGGAAAATTTGTTTTTAGATTTCAAATACCTTCTTTAGAGGCCGTATTGCCTTGGGGCCCTTGATCTATCTGTGTGCTTATACTCTGCACACCTATGAAAATCATACCCAAATTTTAATTTTAAGAACTTCAAATTCCATAGCCTGCTTAGACTTGTTTTCTTGACCAGTCTTTTCTTTACCAGCTCTCCACAACTATACAAACATTAAACTGATTAAACCTTCTTGGATTTTTTTGTGCTTTAATTCTATAGATCTGCTGTGGAGCTAACAATAGATCCTCATTTAACTGAAGCAGTGAAATCCAAATCTGATTTGAAATTCTGTTTATAGCATTATTCAAGAAGCCTTTACCTTAACAGATGACTGTTTGTGTAAGAGCTGATGGAATACGTGCTAGATTGTTGAGTGTGCATGTGTAATACAGTATTTTGTTCTTTGCAAAGGAAAAACATAAGCAAAACCATTTGATAATAGTGATAGCAATTTATGCACAAAGTCTTTTTATTTCATTAAAGTTTTCAGAAATCTACAGTCTAGATCTGCTTTTGCTCATGAAGAAGAAAGGAATTCACCGAATATTAAAGGGCTATATTCAGCATGGAATCAAAAGCAGTTTTACTCTAAGCACAAAATGTCAGTCAAAAGTGGCAGGAGTACCGGATGTTTTGGAGCACTCAGAGAATTCAAGCTTGTAATGAGAAATTAAGTTGATAAAAATACTCCTCTTTCCATCCTATTTTAAGTGAAATGAGAAAACCAATCACTCATTACATGTGGAAAATAAGGAGTCCGCACAAAGACGGCCTCTTTCTTTACTTTTTACGTTACTGTCTTTCAGTGTAAGCTGTTAGTTTTTCATCCCGTTTCGGTTGCAACTGCGCTAAGAATAAAGACATGATATTGCCTTCTCTCTCTATCATGTACCTCCCTGGTTAATTAATTGGTTATTTGTTTTACTCACTAGCCATAAATCAAAACTCCATTCACATAAAAGTTCCTCTTTCATAGTGGAAAATCACAGGTAAATGGGTTTTGTCCAAATTCGGAGTAAATAAAAGGACTCCTATTGGCTTCGGTAAACTATATATCAGGTGTTTGTTTGGAGAGGATCTGAAGGGCTTAGTGGGCAGCACAAATAATGTTCTGATTTACCCTTTGGCCTTCCCATTCAGAAAGTTGCTGGAAAGTTCCATGATATTTAACTGTAGTATGATATTAATTATCACCTTGTTACTGCTGCTACCTGCTTTTTGTGCAAGGAAGACTGGCATTTCTGTCTTTTCTCTCTCTTTTCAGAGCGCTTTATATAATAACCTCCTTTCAAACCATTCCTTTAGTGTAGAGCACTCTGCAATACTGCGTCACACAAAATATGGAGGTGATGAGCTGAGTTCCACTGAATCTTCTGCTGTTGATTTAGATGCAGCAGAGTCAGGAACAGACTCTTAAAACTCCGACTGGCAATGCATCAGGTTTTTTGATGTTGTACCCTGATGAAAAGGGAGTGTATTACTGCTTCTCTAACCCACGGCGGTATGTTGTAGTGTTGTAACTGTGCAAAATGCATTTTCCCCTTGCTACGAAGCCTCTTCAGAAAGCATGTCAGATGTGTGACGATAAAGGGTGTGTGGAAGATTTGACCTTGCTGCCAGCTTTCTTCTTGCCTCCCAGAGAGCAAGGATTGCTCTGAAGTGTTTCTTCCCAGTTCGATAATTTCTCCCTATCCCTAACAGCTTGCAATAGCTCGTTTGCACTTCCCTCATTCTTCATTTTGTTTTGGGCATTGCACCACAAGGTAGGCAGACAAAGACAAAATGTAAAATGTATGTGATCAGGTTGTAAGAATAAACCTCTTGTTCTTATGCAAACATAACAGAGGCCTATGTGCGTTTTGAGGCAATATAAACTACTTTTGGAAGTATTCACAGTTAGAATCTTACAGAAACCTTAGACTCCGTGAAAGTGGCAGTGCTGTTGGTGGTATGCGGCAGAGCTCCATTAATTTTGAAGGAATTCTATTAATTCACAATGATGGTATGTCTGCCCTGCATTTCTATGGTCGGAAGACAGACCCAAGAGAGCTGCTTGTCCTGCCTGTTATACATGTACACATTTAACTAGTGAAGATTTTTACTTTTACTTTTTTTTTTTTTTTTTTTTTTTTTTTTTTTTTTTTTTTTTTTTTTTTTTTTTTTTTTTTTTTTTTTTTTTTTAGTTCAAAGAGCTACAACTTAAATACTGTATTGCACACGTGGTCACATATGTAGACGATGTTAAGACAATGTCTAATAAGATTTTGAAACTGAAACAAGTTGAAGTTCAGGTTGCCTGATACAAATGAATTTGATTTCTTGGGCCATATGAATTAGGATTTAGATTTTAATTACAGTATTGAATTATTTTTTTACAGTAGATATTTGCCCAGTTGATTCTGTAGGGTGAAGCTGCTCTAGTACTGAAGCCAGCTCTGTGTTGAGATAAAAGACTGTTGCTGATAAATTCCTTATCTTCAACTGTCATGGAAGTCAGAAAGGGGACTGTAAATGAGACAGGATATTTTAGCAAAGAGAAAGCATCATAAGGATCATCTCATGATGAAAGCAGCTGCCCGCTCTCATAAAGAATGAATTTGACTGCTACCCGTGCCACAAATGTCCTGTGAGATCCATTTTTTTCAAGGTGGTCACTACCTCTGAAAATCTAATTTCTGGATGCCTGAACTGGAGTTCTGAGGTCTGGTCTGCCAAAATACAGTCACTCACAGCTCTGATTAGTATCAGTGAAAGCTATATTTAAAACCCACATTTTTCTTCTGCTGTCCTGACAGAAAGTCAGGTGATGACCCAAGAAAAAAAAAATTTCAAACCCAGTACTTTAATTTGGCAATATTTCATACACAGTTGAAATGGTGATCTTATCCTGAAACTCGACAGTATATTTTGATATAAGGCAGTTCTGTCATCTCTGGCTACAAAATAATACCTAAAGGGGATGGCCACTTGCTTGAACTAAGGGAAATTCAGACAAACAGAAACGAATTCACATGCCCCCTCTGCAAGTGCAAAGTCAGCCTGTAGAAGTTTTCAGCTGACATCTTTTCAAACTGTGCCTGCCTTTCAAAGTCATGACACTTAGAGGTGACACTGAATGTCTTTCTAATGTTGACTTTTCATTGCTGTTTACAAGTCTTTGAAAATAGGAACATATGTAGGCTTGCTATACGAGTTGACATTGTTGTGTACGGTTAAGGGCTAAACCAGAGGGTATGTAGGCATAGATCCAAGAGAAAAAATTCCTAAGAATGTTGCATTGTTATAAAATTTTAATTGTCATGATGATACTGGTTTGCAAATTGATGCAAACAAATATTTTTGGACTTTTTCTCATCTGCAGTTATTATGTATGAAAGTATCAATCATGGGTCTTTGCCAAGACAAACCCCAAGAATGTACAGCTTTGTGTATAGTTTTCCATGTTTTCACATGTATTTGTTATTTGACGATTGTGATGTTTTAATTTTTCCAACCAAAGGATCAAATATGTTCTGTGATTATAATCTACTGTAATCTAGGAAAATACCAGTTTTTCCTGTTTCTATCATGATTTTGTCAGTTCTTACCAACACAAGCCTTCACATTCAGTCCTCTGTGTCTGGTCGAAAAGGTACTTGGGGTTTCTTGTGTTACATGTGCTTTGGAAATATGACTCACCGTAAATAAGTCGATAACTGCTACATCTTGATAACCTCAATTAGCATAGCAAAACCATTTTCTCTATGCCTAAGTGTGTGTATATAAAAATTTTAAATGTAAGAATCATAACCATTTGAGTAAAATTGACATAATTGCTACAGTTTCAAAAAAACTTAATGACAATTAAACCTGAATCTAATGGATCAACTAGAATGTATGTAGAGCAACGTCCTCATGCTAAACCTTTGCTCCGTAAGTAGTTTCTTGTCTTTCAGTGGAACTATTAGATTAAGCAAGGATTTGAAGGTTTGAACTCACATTTTTCTGAATTCTTTTTGTGTTTCCATTAACCGCATTGTCTAATCTTGAAAAAAACTAGCTTTATATTTCCAGTCTTTATGCCATAAGAGGTTACCTCATTTCAAAAACATAAGTCATCATTGATGGCAGTCTTCTCTCAGTATGTAAAAATACTCAAGGAGTGTTTATGTAATGGAAACTTCTAGGGAA